GGGGCCGTAAGGTATGCTCTCCCGAATAGGGCAGGGTCCCCATACTCGTAAGGTATGCTCTCCTGTTCGGGGCGGGGGCCCGATTCGGATCTCCTCGACTATGGCGTCCCCGAAATCTTTCGGGGAGAGCATACCTTACGAGTATGGGGACCCTGCCCTATTCGGGAGAGCATACCTTACGGCCCCTGATGTGCGGTCCTGTGGTGTAGTGGTTATCACGTCTGCTTTACATGCAGAAAATCGCTGGTTGGATCCCGGCTAGCAGCTTCTCGTTACCTACACAGTTCTGCAAGCAGTGTTTTGGGTATGAACTGTTGCCCTGCTCGGTAATGCGGCAGAATGTTCAGCAACATGTTCGCGAAGAAGAAACGCCTTTTTGTAACATTAATTTGGTCCTTAGGTTGCCATTATACCACACAACTCTTTATGAAGGCCTACTGCCGCTATGTAGGCTGTCCCGCAAGTGTGTCCCATATTAATTAGGATAAGTGAAGGATTGGGTTAACATTTGTGTTAAAGATTGGGATAATTGGTTTTCCATTGTGACCTTTTGGAAGACCGTGAGATCTTTCATTGTGGTTGGTCGGCCCACCCCCAGGATGCATTTTTAATTCAGCCCATGACAACAGGCTTTCCTCTTTCATTCGCTGCTCGTCTACCCTGATGTGGGTTTGTGCTGTTATTCTTTTTGCTTTGTTCTCGTCATATGCTGCAGAATCAAACCCAGGTTAGTTCTTCCATTCATTCTGTTTATAGTTTATTTCATAATTGATCTTTGTCGTACCTTCAAACAGATCGTTCCCTGAAATTCTTGCGTTTCGCCCTACATGAATTGCCCATTTGTGATCACTATAGGCAACGTTCGAATCCCACGCAAAAAGGTTTCGCTTCCTAAGAGAATCAGAAGAACCGCACTCTAATGGTAAGGACGATCGCGTATAGGTCGTGCAGAGACAAGGGTACGCATGGGAAGAGGTGCACCTTGAGGCGCCCACGTTTTAAATGATGCACTGAAATAATCGGGTCAAAGCGGTTGAATTTGAAAAATAGAAACAAAACGATCGGAAGAATAGGATGAGAAATAGAAAAGTTACCGCTATAATTGGAAAAGTCCAAAAAGAGTTCTTAGTGGAGTAACTCTTGGAACCAGTAAGATTTACCCGCCGCCACTATTTGTGACACTTATATGGCGGGAACTTGAACGTGTGACAGTCCTTCTGTTGTTAAAACCGGGTTTGGGGGGGT